AGACAAGCTTCACAGACAAGGCAGCAGCGCAGCCAAAAGCGAAATCATGAAGGGAGACAAGCTTGGGAGACAAGGCGGCAGCGGTAGCCAAAAGCGAAATCATGAAGGGAGACAAGCTTGGGAGACAAGGCAGCAGCGCAGCCAAAAGCGAAATCATGAAGGGAGACAAGCTTGGGAAACAAGGCGGCAGCGGCAGCGGCAGCCAATTTCCGGAATCAGGAACCCATCCATTGAGAAGTAAGAACCCCTGTAGCTTCGCTATCTGGGGAATAAAACAATGCGCAGGCTGCGCAGGTCTTTGTTTGCTCTTTCCTCCCAAGGGAGGGGAATCTTTTGCCGCTACAGGTTCCCACCGCGACCGTAGTCGTACACGGTCTTCGTCTGGCACCTGAACCTCGCGGTGGCTTGAATTCTTCGACGACCAAGCCAGACTGCTCCGTCCTGCCGAGGAAAAGGCGAACTGTGACTCACAGGCCTACAGAGGGCGCAAATAGAGGAATGGATGTGCAGTGGGATGTGGAGTGGGATGTGCAGGCCGGAGAATCCCCCTCTTTTTGATGTGGAAGCGCTCCATCCACACTTCGTCCGCATCCGAGTCTAGAGTCTGCTAGAGAATCGACCTCCCCCGCATCCGTCAACACAAAAAAGAGCACTGCACATCTCTGTGACACACCCGAGCCCAGGCAACCAAAAATGCGTAACCAGAACCACGAGTTCGCGCACGTGCCTGTCGAGCAAGGCCAGCTTCAGGTCAATCTCCAACGCAGATACTAAAGCATTCATCACTACCTCAGCTTCATCCCACGGCCCGTTGATGCATGATGCAGGTTGGGTGGCCCCCCAGCCTTTCGGAAGGGGCATCCACGGTGGCTACTACGTGGCCTACCTTTGGGATTCTTTGGGCCTTTCTTACGGGTTCCACTCGTTCTCAAAGCATTCCAACACCTAGATCTCAAATCTGAACCATCCACCTCTCTTTTTCACCACCTCTCTTCACCACCTTGTGACAAAGGTATGTGCCAAGCCATTTCAGCTTCCACCTCCTAGCCCATCCGCACCCCGGCGTTCGCCAGGAGACGGATTCGGCCTCGATGCCCATCGGCAGGATGACCTCAACTTCAAGCGTTCGGCGACCCAGAAAGGGAGGGTTCTCTGGGACATCAACCGACCAGCACCACGGATTCCGGGTGGTTCTTTCTTTACCCTTTCTGTGGTCCTGGCAGGATTATGGTAATCTTCCATGGAAATCCATGAAAATACAGATTCTTGATGTCCAGCACCACGGATTCCGGGTGTCCATGCATTGCCCCGAAAAGAGGTGATGTGGGGGGTCCATGAAGCACCCACTTATGGGGTCCTGGTACGGTATTTACCCTACTAGTAGGGCTCCTGGCCCACCTCCGTCTTCGGTTCGGCCAGGCGTGGGTGCCAAGGGGGGGGGTCGAAGACCACCTGACCCAGCAACCCCAAACGGGTGATTCTCCTTATCCTCCATCCCGGGTCCGCCCCATCAGGCCCGGGCTTGGACCACCCGTCACCCCCCGTGGCACGTGCCGGAACGAAGGGAGGGGTGCCCAGGCGGGGGGTGTGGCCATGGGACGTGTCAGGTTCCAACGACTTCCATGTGGAACGGGTGCCCAGGCGGGGCAGACCCTGCCCACCGTGCCCACCGGATGGGCCGTTCGCCCGTGCCGAGCTTCGTGCCCGACCCTCTCGGGTCGTCGGCGCCGCCCGTTCGGGACTCGTCCTCCCCCACAGGTTTAGAGGTGAAGGCTCCATGGGTCGATTCTCCCTCTCCAATCCAATCCAATCCAATCCCATCCAGTCATCAACTCCTTGATCACTAAAAACTCCCTTCCTTCACCCTGTCCGGGACGGGAACCGCACCGTCTTGCAGAAGTCCTCCGGGGATCCCAGACCTCGCGGCCAAAGGCCCAAGTGCTGCAGCGTGGATGAAGAAAACTCAACACCCCCCATTTGGAGTGTAAAGCCTCTTCAGAATTCAGGTCTTGTAGACTGTTGATGTGTAATGTAGACGGTTGATGAATAGACGAACTGAACCACCCGACTTGAACTGCAAAACCCTCTTCAGAATTCAGGTAGATGCGTAATGTAGACTGATGAAAAAGGCTTAACGCCCTCCATGTGAAAAATGTAAAACCTCTTCGCAATTCATGCCATGTAGACTGTCGATGTCTCATGTAGTAATTCATGTAGACTGTTCATGAACTCGCCCCCCCCCTTGGGAGTTCCTAGAGCCGTGTCCGCCAGCGTTCCACTCTCATTCAGTTCGATCCTCCACCAGGCTTCTCCGACACCGCCCCACCTTGGACCTCGCAGAGCAGGCGGAAGGAGAGTCCGTTGCAGAAGCTCTCGTCGTCCGCGCGCTCCAGGAGGCACCTCAAGGACACCACTCCATCGGGTCGGTGCCCCCCAAACACCAACGTGCACGGGAGAGGGTTGGTTCTCGCAGGGCCCAGGGGCGCTCCCGCGCAGCTCTGGGGTTCCCCCACTGGGCCGTCAAGGCCCGAATGGCTCGGATGCACGACTGGTCCTGCGCAGAGAACGACCAGTCGCACCATGGACATCGGCCCGGCGGTGCGCATCCTCGTTGAAGACCTGCCTTCCACCTCCCACGAGTTCCCTCGCTTCTAGTCTTTCGCAGTTGACTTCAAAATCAAGACACGAGTTCGCGATTTGACACCACAGTCACCACAGTGAAAACATTGACAAACCACAGAGCCCTCCCAGGAACCAGAGTACTACCAGACTCCAGATGTATCGAAATGTGCCCCGAAAAAGAGGCATCTGCCAATGGGTGTTTTTTCGGGCCCCCCAAAAACCCGCCAGGCCAGCCTGGCAAACGAATTCTCCTGTCCCAAAACAACCTGTTTTCGGAGCCAAGCCATGGGTTGTGTATTTGAATAGACCTCCCTGGCCCAATGGGTAGACTGGTGGGAGGTCTCCCTATTGGCGGCGCTGGCTGTGCACTACAGCACGGCCTGGCCAACGGCCGGCTGGGCCCTCAGGCGATCGCTGTGGGGGAGCAATCTTCGAAGCTGGCCTGAGGTCGGTGCGGCCGTAGAAGATCATCCTAGAGAGGGCAGCAGCCCATCCTAGCCCTATATCCTATAGCCCATCCCATCTGTACCCCGGTGGAGTGGTGGCTTATCAGAGCGCATCCTGCATTCTGCATTCGAGCCCTCCTTGTGCACTCTGCTCACCCAATACCTGTTCGCGCGATTTCATGCTGTTGTTGCATAGCTCTTTTTCCCCTAGGCCTCTCAACCTCTCTTGGATCATCCCGCTCCACACATTCTGAAACAACGCCCAAGACATTGGGACCTGCTGAAAACCAAGTTCCATGAAGCTCATGGAACGATTTCTTTTGGGACCCCTAGCAAAAACACCGTTAGAAAGGTGGACCCTGGTGTTGCAAGTGTAAAGTCCTTGGTTGAAAAGTGGGTCTGCGGGGGTATATTGTGAGGGAACACTATGAGGGGACCTCTGATGTTTTCTCTCGCGCCGACTCGGAACCGGAGATCGGACCAAGTGGAATGGGGCTCCCGCCAACAGATCTCCTGGCCCATCCTGAGGCATTCTAGCGCAAGAAGTGAATGTACCAGGGCCTTCCCAGTGACTCGTGACCAAACTTCCAATCCCAGTTCTGTGTGCAACCCTTGGAGTCACAGGGATTCTGTTGAATTTTTACACATGTACCAGGGGAGTGCGGCATGATTGTGGGACCGCACTCAACGAAGCTACCACAATCATGGGATACCGAGTCTGATCATCTCGGCGTACCTGCTGTCATACCTGGGGAACTTCCCTATGGGCCCTGCTTTTAACTACAACAAGAATTCTGGCCATTGCATCTGTTAGCACCGGCAGTCTTGCATAGGATTTGGCTGAGTGTCGCTTTCGCTTTTCCTTTTTGCATGTGGAGGCATCGTCGCTTTCGGTTTTGAACTTTGGAGACCTCAGAACTTTGGATTCGTTGACTTCAACTTCCTACCTGGAACCTTAGGCTTACTTAGGCTGGCGTGTGGCACCGCATTCGCGTCAGTACGCATTTCCATAAGTGTGGCAAGTCCATAAGTGTGGCAAGTCTTGTCCCTAAGGACCTCTGACACCAGTAACTAGATCCCCTAACTAAATTTTGTACAGAACAGCAAGGGGCCGGAGCCAGGTGAGGGGTCTCCGGCCAACGAAGACACCCCCCACCCGGGTGTAAACGTACCTGCATTGTTTGAGTATCTAGAACTTTAAGTAAAGCTCAAGCTGTCTCATGCGTTGTTTCGCTGTAATTTCACCTAGAACTCTAAGCAAAGCTCAAGCTGTCTCATGCGTTGTTTCGCCATAATTCAGTCAAGGTCTAAACTGCAGTAATTCCGGAACTTTCAAGCTGATACAGCTCTTGCGAGCATGTATCTAAGTGTGTCTCGGAAAGGTCTTGAAGTTCAGGTCACGACCACCAATCCTGAAGTTCCCTCACCAAACAGGTGCTCACAAGATTGCGACATGTCGCACCTGAGGCCTCCATCCTCTTTTTATACCTTCTCCACAAATGTACAAGCCATACAATCCATCAGGCGTGCCGCCGACCTGGTACTTTCTGGCAGGATTCCATGAGTTTGACCCGGGCTGGTCGGACTCCACCATGAAAAAGAGTGAGCACAACGTAACTACCTGGAGCCTGGACCCTCTTAAGATCCAGTGTTTCCTTTTGACAAGTCTGGTGACCAGAAACCACCTGTGGTCGGGTGCTAGGAGGCTCCTGCCACAGTTCCGCAGCAGGACGCAACGATAACCCACACATTGCGAGGCCCCGACAAATGACTCTGATCTTGAAAACACCTGCACCTGAATCACCTGAAAAGCCCCTTTCACCTTGGTGGGTTGACCATGTCTGGTCGTCCATTCGAGTGCCATGACCACCTCCGTCCTGCCACGGGAGGCCACTGGCCAAACGAGCCACGCAGTCGACCTCCGATGCCGAAAGCGCAGACCCAAACCGGCCACGCCTGTGGTGCTCAACAGCTCCCGGCGCTGATCAACAGCTCCCTAGTTTGGGGGCCCCCATTCACCCAAATACCCTCTTCCAAGCCGGCCCGCCAACCAAGCCCATACAGGAAACCAGGTCAAGCATTTGTGTCAGGGTCCAGATGGAAGGCTGGAGCATTTTGCTTACTATCCTTACAATAGATAGAAGACATGAAAATCAAAAATTAACGTAATTTGGAACTTACCATGTTTGGGTCATGTTTTCTCAGTGTTTCATATATGATATATGTTCATATTCTATCCACTCCAGCGTGGCTGGACATCTGTCATCCTTTAAAGGCGACGATATGGGCAGACCCAAAAACACACAGAGTGGAACAAGCCACTGATGGCCCCCACCCATGAATGCTCACAGCATCCCACGCCACATCTGCTGATACACTCCACCACACCGGCCATTCCCCTCATGCGGTGCCCGAATTTCCAGACTGCGACACCACTCGGACCGGAAACGGCCCAAGCTTCCCGACCAGTTGCTGGTGGCCTTCCTCTTCTTCGGGCGCATGGAAGTGAAGGTCCTTCAACTTCATCACCTCGACTCCGTCGAGGGGTCGGGGACGTCGGAAAACGGCCGCGGGCGCCCACCGCAGCGTGTGGTCTTCCGAAAGAGCGCCGCCCTTTTGAAGATCTGAGTTGACCATGGCGCCCTTGTTGCTCAGGGGGGATGCTGTGATGAAAGATGCACAGAGTGGCAGAAAGAACCCAAACCCTGCATTCGCTAGATATCTCTGGTGCTTGGCCACATGAAAAAGGAAGCCGTTAAAAAGATCTAAAAAAGTGACCCAAAAAGTGGCTCCTGATTGGCGAGTGTCGTTGTATCAGTGCAATACCTTCAGAGCCGCTCATCATCACTGGATCCCAAGCCACGGGCCTTCGGCTTCGGCTTCAGTGGTTGAAGTGTCGTCTTTGATGCATTTGAGTCAAAGGCCTCAAGAACCTTGTCTGAAGTTACTTGGGGTCATCCAAGAGACTTTCGCACACTACGGCTGCGCGATGGTTTTTGGGGGCACCTCACCTCACCTGAAATAAGACATCCGCCGACCCCTGCCTAGCTGACGCCTAGGCGGGGCGGCGCCTGCGACTGCCTGCCGTGGCCCCTCTGGTCTCTGTCATGCGCACACCTGTGGGGAAGTGCGTATGCGCAGGCGTACGAAGCTGTGCTACTTGTCGCAGTTTGCCGTGCGAAGAGCCTACGCATACGCGTATGCCCCCCAAGGGCATCGCCGGTTGGCGAAGCCTGTCAGTTATATTGATTTACTCTTTAAAGAACAACCACAATCAGCTCCTCCCCAAAAGTGCTTGCCTTAGTAAGCTAAGTATGAGTCAAAATCAGGGTTTCCACCGGTTTTAGTCATTGGTTCCCCTATTCTTCCTTCACAATGATGAATGATGCTTTCGGCGGGCCACCCAATGTTTGACCACACCAACTGCCAACAGAGGTTGAAGAAACCTATAGACTATCCCGTAGGTATGCCAGTAGGGTCCTATAGGGTCGCTGAATCTCTCTGAAGGACCACGGTCTTTCCTTCACGCCCCGCCTGTTGGGCTCCCGGACCAGCGCACGCGCGCCAGCACGGCGAGGAGCTTCCGGCGACGAGATCTCAGTGGCGAAACATGTCCAGAACACCTAGAAGTCCAACGACTATAGATCTTGGCCTCAGAAGTAAAGGATGTTCCGACATCAGGTACCGATTTCAAGAGATCCTGGGTCCTTACATTTTAGGACTTTGAGGAAAAATGACTCAATGACAATTCCCCTTCACTATTGAAAGCTACCAGGTTTCGAGCGCCAGGAGTTTCCGGTCGTCAATTCCAAGGGACATCGAAACTTCACCCTTCTCCCCGGACCTTCCGTTCGTCCGGTTCTTGGACACCCCGTTCCTCACCTCTTTTTGAGGTCCAGACACCCCATCGAGTCGGGTCCTGGTCCCTGTGTCCAACGTTTGACAGTGGTTAGGACTGCCTAAGTGGATTCACATTCGGCTCCCAGACCTGGGTACTTGGGCAATGTCTTCCCCATCCCTGCAAGTCCAAGACCAGTTGTAAAATGGTTGGGGTTTGTACCTAGTGCAAAATCCTCAGTAAAACAGTTGTTCAGGATTCAGGCAAATCAAAAACACGGTGCCTTCCACTTCGGCTGGACTCCACCGGAGCGACCTGGGCCGTCCCCGGCGATCTGCTCGAGGAGCCCAAAGCCCACCGCGCGATAGAAGCCTCGTTCGCGGCGAAGAAAGAGGTGCTAAGGCTGCTAAGCGATCGAGTTGGGCCAAAGGAAGACCAGTGGGAAGCCATCATGGAAGACAACTGCGTGCGTTCACCCAACGCAAAGTAGCCATGATCATGCACGATCTGCCACCGTCTGAAACGGTGAGGTGTTGAACTGTTCCTCAGGCTCCAACAGTTTCCGTCTCCACGAATTCTTCTCCAACCTTTGTACCTGGAGAAAAGCCAAAAAAGGTCTGCACTGCACACACAAAAAAAAATGCAAGAGAGGGAAAGAAAGAGACGAGCTCTTTGTGAGCTCGTTGCTTTCAGCCCGTGCTTAAGCCATGCAAATCGCTCCGCTCCAACATCGCTCTGCTCCAACGCGGAGCCGCGTTTCAACTCCCTAGAGTCAAACTTCCCAGAACGGGCAAGACTGTGAGAGTGGAACTTCAGAAATGCCAAACCCACCCCCACACCCCAGACCCCCGACCAATCGAAAGGGAAGACCGAGAACCATCCAGCTTGCCCCCTCCAGCCGGCCTCCTTTGACCCTTCGCACCGAGCCCAAGTCCGAGTGCGCCCCAGGGTGGTCGACGCACTGAAGCTTCATGAGGCAGTCCACCTTTGCGCCGAAGCTCTTGTTGAACCTCAGGGGGTCGCCGCGGTGTCGGGTCGGGGGCACCAGGGGCGGTCGCCGCGGAAGGAAGGGGGTTCCGCTGGCGACCAGCCACCGGTGGAGAGCGACCCAGAGGGTACCCCCGTTGCGACCTGCAGTCCAGACCCCGTGGGTTTTGGGGGTTCACCGGATGGGCACCGGCCGAGACCTGGGGGCGTCGTCTTCGGAGCTGGCGTGTCGCTCGCAGAGCTTCGGAAGGGGTCCGGACCGGTCCAAAGAGACCCGCGGGAAGCGAAGCTCACCGGTCCATCCAAGTCTGTCCCTTCTTCGAAGTTCTTCCAACACTTCATGATCAAGGAAATTCCAACGTGTTCTTGACCCCTTCAAACTTCAAGATGAGAGATGCGCAGATGGTGATCGACATGCCACCGCTACAGGCGAAAAAGGCTACGGTGGCGATAGGGGTCTTCGCGAAAATGTCTGCAAAAAACTCAGGTTTCGGCTTGAATTCGTCTTTCAGAGTGCCTGAGAGTGATGCATGAGAGGCGTGTCTCGTCTTCATTCAGCCTCTTTTCAGCTGAGTTGGGGTGACCGATGGTGACCAATGGTGACCATGGGCCACATGGCTTGCATCTGCTTCATGTTGCACCTGAAATGTCTGCTACATTAAACCACACGCTTCAATTCATTGAGTGCTTGCTCCCCTTGGTGGGAACTGGGGGAGGCCAAATATGGATCCCGCGCCCCAACGCTCCGATGAATGCCATCTATGTATAGCTGTCGGAGTACATCTCTCAGTTACCATATTATCTCCTGATGTCGGGAGGTGAAGGCAATTGAGCCAGTATCTTTCCGACCATGAGCCTTCCCATACAGAACGGAGGGCATCATTAGGGCAGCACCTCCTTTTTGGCTATCACCATCGCTGCTACAAAGCCCTACATACAGTATGCTAAGTGCTGCAAGATGAGAGAAGGGACAGTTCTAGCGATGTGCAGCTTACCTTTGTCCAAGCCTGCGTTGCAAAGCTTTATGCCAGCACTCACGGAGAAACTGACGCTTCGACTACGAAGCTTGGGGGCTCCCTTCTTCCGAAAGCGACCCGCCCCTGGGATCGATTTGGGACCTCGTTTTTGAAGGTTTAGGGTTTAGGGTTTACACTTGGACCACCCCAGGATCTGGAATGCTTTCTGGCACTTCGCGGCGCGGCGTGGGGCGAACACCGCGGGCGGCCACATGGGTTGAGTCTGACACAGCGGCGGGGCGCCAAGGCTGGGCCTCTGTTTTGTGAGCCAGTTGCTGGTCCCTTACATATACGTGGGACATGCCACCAAAACACACCAACGGCGTCCGCTTACTTTGGATCCGACTGTACCAAGTAAGATAAGTAAGTGATTCTGCGCCACAAACAAGGCCGCAAGGTTTCTATGGTCCCCGAGACAAAGATCCTGATTATGTGTCTATCTCTTGTCTTGACCCCACTCCGCTTGCTCCCTTCAAAAAGGAACACCAAGCCACTCAACGGCTCGAAGCGGCCCACATTCGCGGGCGCGGACAAGCTCGCGCTTGGACGGGCTGCCGCCTGCGAAAAGACGGTGCCGAGGCGCTTCTTTTTCTTCGGTAGCACTTGGAGGGAATGGGCCAAAAGGGAAGGGGCCGTGGTTCAATGTAGTTCAGCAAGAGTCTGCCGCTAAGAAGGAGGACTCTGCCGAATCCGCCTTGGGCATTCCTTGCTTCATGAAGAGGTTTCATGGCAAGTACTGATCCTTGAAGCGAAGATCGAGGTCTTGAGCCAAACATACACCCCTCTGCCCCCCCAAAAAAAAAGGTCGAACAATAAACATGTCTGTCTACAAACCTTCAGATCTTGAAGCCCTGCAGGCGCCGGAGGCAACCATCAGAGACCAAACCCATCGAATCACCGTGAGAGGTGCACACCTCTCAGCAGCTCATGAGTTAGAGCTGTTAGACATGTTCGGCCACCCATCCGCAACCCATCCTCTTCTCCGGAGTGCATTTTCTCCATCCCTCCGGGGCTGTAGAGGGCCGGGGGGGGTCTCCCAGATGCAGATCCTCCAGCCTCCGCAGGAAAAACCACAGCTGATCCTCTTGAGAAAGCACACACATGATCCACGCGGACGTTCAGGGCGACGTCACGGTCCAACACCAGACAAATCCAGCATATGAAGACCCGGCCAAAGGAGAAAGCACCAACTGACCACCTGGTTCTTCAGTTCGTGACCTTACGTAGCATCACCTGGTTGGTTCGGTCACTTAAGCCTCCGAGTAGGGTCACTTAAGCTGGAACCTTCAAAAGGTCACGAACTGAAGAAGCTGGGCAGATGTTTGTCTCAAAATCCCCGCATCTCCGGGGTGAACTTCAGGTGCTCTTCCCCCCCCCGTGCGGTGACCACCGCCGGGGGGTCGCCCCTGCGACCGTCCCTCGGTTCGGAGGGGCACCGGCGGTGCCGCTGGCCTCGAAGGTGCCGCTGCGAGGGAGAGATCTCGGAGCCGAGGACCTCATTCGGGACCGAGCCGGCGGAGGAAGAGCAGCAGGAGCTTCGAGCGAGCTTCGAGCGGTGCTATCCCAGGAAGGAGGAAGGAGGTTGGTTATATAGGTGCCCAGGGTCACGTCACATCCACTGGATGGGCCTCCATGTGATCTCAAAAGAAAACAAACCCAACCCTCCAATGTGACTCTTGACGACTGTGGCCACTGGGGTGGGGTTCAACATGTTCAACACAGCAGGTCTCTGCCATCGTGAAAAAGCTGGGTCCAGTCCCGGCCCAGCAGGGCGTCCAGTGGAGATGAATGAGTCATACACTAGTATACTAGTATACCACGACGCACAGCTCACGAGAGTTCTGTCCAGAAAGGTTCCACCCAGTTCTCCCAGTTCGCCCAAAACCAGCCTCCAGAACCCCAAACCACCCGAAAGAGGCGAGTTCCGGATCACCTGAGGCGGGCTCCCACACACCGTCTCAATGGTCAAATCTTCCTTTGGCACCTTGGGCATGCTCAAGTCATTCCGAAGCACGGCAGCGCCTGGCTGACGAGGCCGTGCTGCCGGCAGCGCTGCAGAATTCCAGGAAGAGTCGGCATCAAGGGGGGGAGAACCCAGCCTGTGTGTTTTGTCGAGAAAAGAGACATTATACCTGGTTGAAGCAGGCACTATACAGGTGGGAGCACAGCTGGTTGAACGTGCCATTTCTGTAGAGGAAAATGGTCTTTCTGTCGAGGAGTTCAGGTATCCTCCTCGTTCTTCTCGTGCTCGTATGGCGGGTTTCGGTGGGGATGCTCGACCCGCTCAGTTCCCGTTAGACCGATAGACTCTCGAAGTCCCGCACTGGGCCCTTCGCTGGTCTTTTGACGAATACACTCATACCAGCACTAAAGTCACTAGCCTCCTTAGAGTCGCTGGGTAGCTGAGTGGCTGAGTGGCTTTGCGGGGTCCAAACTTGGAGCTCCAAGTCGAGCAAAGCGAGCAAACGACCTTCCAGTTCGACCGCCGGGAGGTCAAGCCAGGTATTTGATTTGGAACCCACGGCCAAAGGAGAAAGCACCAATTGACCACCTGGTTCTTCAAAGTGACCGTACTTAATGATTAAGTCTCCGAGTAGGGTCACTGGATGGAACCTTCAAAAGGTCACGAACTGAAGAAGCTGGTGTGGTGCTCTTGATGCATGAAAAACAAGGAACTGATTAAAACTGCCATAATTGCAACTGGAGTCGTATTCTGAACTCTAACGTTGATGCAGATCGATGTCTTCCATTGTGTTGTTTCAACATGAACTATGTGTCACTGGAACTTGTCATCCCAAGCACGCTTGAAAACCAACACCCCCAAATCGATTCGAAAATAACTGCACTTCCCCTTTCCCTTCCTTTCCCCTTCCTGAGTCTCCGACTGAGCTGCTCTTCTTCAAAGCTGTCGCTCTCCAACGTCGTCGCCGCCAACGTCGTTGCTCCGTAGGCGGTACTGGGCGGCCACGAATTGGCGGCGATTAGGCGGCTCGGAGTTCAGTTCCGCTTGTGGTTGGGAAAAAAAGAAGAAGACATGACTCGATGACCAGGTCGCCGTGGTCGCCCGGACCCTGAAGGTACAGGTAAACCATGGAGTCCAAAGTTCAAACACGCCCGCTCTTTTCCGGTGACCACCCCCCCCCTCTCTACAATCTAGAAGCTGAAAAAGAGCGCGTGCAGGATCCTATCACCTTGGCCAGATGGGACGCCCAACCAGTTCTGGCACAGCTGAAGATCCGAATTTCGGAGCAGGAGCGACACCTTCGATCACCCTCATGAGAGTCACGCACCAAACGACAAAAACGACCGGCCCCCAAACCCATCCCATCCCATCCCCCTCCCCCCAAAACCTACCCAAACTGTCCCCCCAGTCTGGCCGCCCTGGCCGGCCCTGGCCTCACCGAAAACTGCGGCGAACCCGGCGCCGAGAAGCAGTTGGCCTGGCCGAAATAGCCTCAGCCGCCGGCCACGGCCTCGGCCCTTTACCGAGGAACCGTCCGCGCGCGAAGGAAGGGCCCTGGCGGGCACCGGGGGGTTGCTGGCCCTGGTGTCTTTTCTCGGGACGACAAGCTGCTCCACCCCGAAAACAGATGAATCAACAAAAACAAGTACCTAGTACCAGCAGTCACGTGGAAGACCGGGGTGCGATCCATGGAGGTTTTTTGGGTGCCCGGTCACGTCACATCCACTCACGTAAGCCAGGGGATCCAACACCACCCCCTCCTTTGTGACTCCTGGGACCAGAGACCAACGTTGGAGTTGGTCTGCGGGAGGATCGAGTCGAGTCCTTCCTGGAAGGTGCAAGAGTCGATCCCCGTCCGGTCTCGGTGCTGCGGGAGATGGGGTCGAATCAGGTCAAGTCGGTCCATGCGGAGCCCATGAGCCCTGACATCATGTATGTCCTTGCCTACCCCCTATCTGAGAATTGGCGAGCATCATGGGAAGTGGACCTGCCCTACAAATCTTCAGGCTTATAAACAAAGGAGACAACCACAGGGGTAGGGTGGGGACCCACATGATGCAACCAAACTGCTATGCAATCCCGTGAGCTTCTGCTCAAGAAGTGCTGCCAGCCTCAGCCATCTGTGAGTTCTGCCAGAAATCGCCGCAAAAAACAATGGCACCCGCCGTGGGCTCTTTACCGACCAACCTATTGCTTTTAGCTGCTTGCTGTGTCCTTTTCTATTAGCTGCTCCAAGAGGCTCCAAGCCGAACCCTGGTGATGAAAAAGCTACATTCAACATATTCAACAACCAAACCCGTGGTCTGCGCCGGTCCGACGTCCGAAGCCCCGAAGACCGATCCGCTGCAAGTGACCGAACCGTACGCGTTCGAGGTCGCCCCGGTGGGCCGCGCTGCTTGAGGCCCCCACCTGCTCATCCTGGGGCGAATGGAGACGTGTCGAAGCAGGGCACGAGCGGCATCGAAACGGTGAAGTCAGAACCTCAAAGCAGCTAGACTCGCGCCCACGGCCTCAAGTCTGGGTTTGCATCAGTGTGAAATTCCCAACAGTGACCAAAACGGACTGTGGTTGCTAAATGTGTGAGCTGGGATCTACTTGCTCTCCGAACTTTTTGCGAAAAGTCGAAGTCAAAAAGTCTCGAAAAGTAAGAAAAGTCCCGCTGCGTGCTTTCGTTTCTTTTACCTTGTTGACTTGTGTTCTTTTATATGTTTTTGATTTTTTTGACTTTTTGCGTTTTGCTTGGTGTCTTGCAAATAGATCGTCGCTAAAGGATTTAGCGAGCTTAGCCAAAACCAGCGCCTCCCAAATCGAATAGCGGATTCCATAGGGGTGCTTATTGGAGGGTGGGGTAGGTAGGGGTGCATACGATCCACTCACTGGACTAAAATCCACTTCTTTACAACTGCTGGTATTTGGCTCTTTGCAATGGTGCTTGAAGGGGTCTCCCTCTTCCAACCCATCCTGGCGCCATCTCCCCCGGGCCACCGCGCAGGGGAGAAGGATCGGACGGCCGCAGCACCAGGCTCGAACCCCAAAGAGGCGGCGGTGTGTTGGACGGATCGTGCCGGGGAGGGATCACCGTCCGGCAGGTGTCACCCCCACCCTCCAACCAACAGGGTTTCAAATGGTAATGAAATCGTGAGGTTCCAGCCAAGGCAATCGGTCGCTGGAGGTCCAGAAGCTCCACAAACACGACACCACGTGGAGGGCGGTGGTTCTGACTTTGAGACCGATCCTTCCCTGGTCTGACGAACAAACAGGTGGCTGTTCTTCTCTGAGAGCTGCAGCATGTGGGAATCACGGGGGGGATCATCACCCTGGCTCAACACGGGCCAATCTCGCCAAGGTGCTGTTTCTAACCATGTGGTCTTTTCCCAACCCTCCAGGCCTCCCCTGATCCCGCCCTCGGTCCTGCTCGGCCTCTGTCCACTCCGACCCCCCCCCCCGAGACCGACCCCGGTCGGACGGCGGGAGCGGGCGGCACGTTCGGGAACTTGAGGTCCAAGGTCTGCTCCGTGGGGACCTTGGGTCCCAACGGTCTGCTCTGGGAACCCCACCGAAGGCTGCCCAGTCAACGGCTGAAGGGGACGTGACATGATATCCAGAGAGTGCTTCGATGGAGCGGAAGAAATCCTGAACAGGGTTCCTTCTTCCGGAGTCATTCGAGATTCACCGTCTTCTCTGGATTGATATAACTGATCAACATATCCACGGGATCACCACAGAAACCAGCCCCAATCCGCCAAAGGTGTGAATCGGTGCATCTGAAAACCGCATCCCAGGTTCCTTCGAAGGGTCCCTACCTTCCTGTCCACTGCTTCAAATCGTTGATCTCATCGACCTTTGGAGCGCCAAAACAAGAAGATCCTGCAGTCTTCCACCTCTACCCCCCCCCCCAACCGCTCCATTTAGCACTCCCTCTCCTGCCGGTCAGGCCGGTCAGACAGGCATCCCACCCGATCACCCCCCTTGAGGTCCTCCGGCCGCGAGCCACATGAAGATCAACACGGCGACGAGGGCCACACTGGCCAGCGCCACCTGCGTCCAGCGACAAAAGACCGGTTCGGGAACCGTGGGAAGCTGTGGGAAAGCAGAAAAAGGGTGGAGGTCATCACTTCAACCTCTTCAATCGGCCACTCTGTCACAAGATTGGTCGGTTTTGGAGCTATTGAACGGTTCTTGGTTGCTCTTGGTAGCTTTGAGTGACTTCCGAAGAGGTCACCAAATCAGCAAAACTACGTATTTGTCTCACACTGTGAGCCTCCCCTCCCCACAGTCCGACTCCATGCTATGGTGTGACTTGAAAGAAACGTAACTAATGGAAGTGGAAGACCTCCCTGAACATGGTCATCCTTTCTGGTGTAGATTCCAACGACCCCCCGAAAAAACGGATGAAAAAACCCGCGGCCAGTCCGTTCTTGTGTCCGCTGCCAGTCCGTTCTTGTGTCCGCTGCCCACCTCCCCCACTTGGTCCGCCCCAGGCCTGTATGCCACTGCCCATCTCCTCATCACGGGGTCAGTGGGCACCGCACCGAGGTCAAGTTCGGTCGGGTGTTTGTTTCGTGCAAGGGGTCTGCATGGCACGCTGGCGGCACCTGTACCAGGGCCCCAGACTTCGTCTAAGAATTCGACCCGGTCTACCAGCACCACCCGATCCACCTGGTTCGGAGTCTAGGGACACCCCCCCCTGAAAAGGGACTTGTTCATCCAATCACCTGGTATATACAGGTGATTACAGATTTGGGGGTCCATCCACCACCCAAGGTTTTTTGCGGGACCCAAGTGGTCTAAACAGCCACTCGAAGTTGAAGAAGACTAAGAGGTGTTTACCCAAGGAACCTCCTAGGAATGGCCTCCAACCTACTAGCGATGGCGTCTCACCTACTAGCAAAAGGAACCGCAATAGGGTCATCTTGAACCGCCATTGGCCTCCAACCTCGCATGCTCGGGTCGACCTTCCTTCTCCGAGCCCTCACGCGCCTCCGGACGGAGCTCAGTCTCGTCCGCCGGGGCGGAGGAGGAAGTGCTTGGGAACCGGGGGTGCGTCGCTGTGCTGGGTGCTGTTCTCGCCGATAGCGCGGCCGGGGCGTGGGGTGGCTTTGTTCCTTCCTACGTGGACTCCAGAAACTGTTTTTGGATGCGGGTCGTGGCCCACGCCCTCGAAACTCTCGAGATCTTTCTCTTTCCAGCCAAAACTGCACCAAATCATCCTTCCAAAATCTCAGGCAGAAACTTGGCATGGACACATCCGCAGGACCCTTGTCATGCAACAAACTTCCAGCCTCCTCTTTATGTCCCTCGTCCCTCAAGGCAGGGCCTTTCCCCTGCTCAGAGCCAAGGAAGCTATAGAAGCGATGTTCCACATGCATCGAATTGCTAGGAATTCAGGGTAGGGCTCTGCACCAAACCAACTTCACACATCCTGCAAGTAAAAAGAATAGAACAACCTGGATTCACAACAGGGTGAGTCTTGCGAGCCCCGGCCTGATCTGGGCCATATCATGTGATGGCCTATGAAAAGTTTGATAAACAGTATCGGGACCTATTGTCTCTTGCAAATAGGCGACAATGAACATGTCAACTATACTCAAGGAAATGGAAAAGGAATTGAACCCGGGCAAGATCAGCAAGTCGGTCCTACTCATATGCCTCTGGGCAAGCTCAAAGACTTCGAATTGGAACTAGATTGAAATGATCTTTGGAGTCGTGCTGCAAAACAGTGGCGTTGAGCAGACACGATTCGGAGTGTCCACGGGTGCTGAATCCAGCTCATCTATCAGATGAAAATCCATGTCTGTTTCAACCGAACGGTGCTCGGCGCGAGTCACGGTCGGCCCTTGAGACCGCGGCGAAGGACTCTTCTGGAGGGGGGGGAACGGCCTCCGTCGCCTCCGACCAAAGGTCTTCCTCCGTGCGTCGGAGGAAGCCACCGTCCTTCTCTTCGCTTTCCGCCGCACGCGTCTTCCCAAGCCGTCCAAACAGACGAGTTTCATCTCCCCAGGGGGTCGGCTCCTTCGTCTCCTTCGTCTCCACCTGCACTCCATCGGAGTCCTCCTCATGCAGCTTGGGCAAGATATACCACTTCCAAGCAGGCAGCACCATGAGCGCCAGCACGACGGCCAGCAGCAAATTCATCACCGGCACCGGCAGGTGCCGCCCAGGTGTCCGCATCGCCGAGGTGGTGACGCCCCCCCACGGCCGCGTCGAAGCAGCGCTCCCAGGAGATGCCAACCAACATGCCCAGCGCCGAGATCACGGTGCGGATGGCGCCATCCACCTCGATGTCGTCGGCGTTGTCCGCCACCTGAAGAACGGGGGGCGAAACGTCCGGGAGGAGGAAGGCAGGGGCGCACCAAAATGAAGAAACCTCTGAAAAAGGTACCCACCCAAATTGTTTCCAATCGCCGACCTACTTCCAGATCTTCCAGGTTTCAGTCACTCCAGCCCCCCCCCCCACCTTGTCTAAGCCAAAGATCAGTAGGAAGGCCAAACAGGTGCCCAGCAGGGCGGATACCACCGCCTTCATGGAGTCGTCCAATTGGAGGTGGGCGGCGATGGACCAATCCACGGAGATGTGCAAACACCAGGCAAAGCTCATGGCCGAAATCTTCTGGTACCAAGTGGCACCTGGCGATCTTCCGGCTTGGCCGGATCCTGGTACCTCATCGCTGTAAGACTGTAATCTTGGCAAGCCTTTGATCCTGATCGAATTTTCGCTGTACCTACGAAAGGAGGAGGAAGATGTTCAGCAAAAAATCCCCCTCATGCAAATCCAGGAGGTAAGATCACCCTCCACACAATGCACCCAAACTGAGCTCCCCCCCCCAACCTGACGCGTCCCTTGGCGCTCCGTCGCCCCTTCTCTTCCGCCGCGCGCATCGCCGCGCCTCGCTCCGCCCCCTCGGCGGACGACTCCACACTCACGGCCCGGGCGAAGGCGCCGGTTCCCGCGCGGCGCGCGAGGAGGAGGCGCCCCATCTCGGCCAGGCCCAGGATGACGCCCACCAGCAGCAAGAGGGTGCAGGACCACAACGAGTGCGGTGGGCTGTTCTCCGAATCTTCACCGGAGGCCTCGGGAAGCTGCCCCGTGATGCAGAAGCGCAGCAGCTGCACCGTGAGGAAGGAGACGGATAAGGAGATGACTTCATCTTCGGTCTCCGCAACATGCTCTCCCCAAATGACCTCGAATTCATCCTCCTCACCATCTGCCATGGTCTTCTCGTAGCGCCAGCGCGCAGTAGCCTTGTAGATTCCAGAGATGCTGGCAAAAGCAACGATGGGCACGAGAAAACTCAAAAAACTCGGCACCACTTGCTGCAGGCTGCTCCAAGCATTCACAGCAGCAAATCCTGTGACATGTCCAAGCAGAATTCCCCATGCATGGGTATTCAGCTTGATGTCATGCCTTGGTGTTTGAG